CAATTTCTAGTTCCAGTTCTTTTACTATCTAAATCATGTTCTAGTTAGTCTCCTCATGATCAAGATCTAGTTCCAGCTCTGATCAGATCCAGATCTGTATCAATTCAGCTAAGTTCTTAGTTCCATTACTGTATCAATTTCTAGTTCCCCTTTTTTTGCTAGTTCTGATTCTTTTTCTAGTTCTAATCGCATTTAGAGTTCCATTTCCAGTTCGTTTTAGTTCAATTTCTTTTACTATCTATCTATATCGAGTCAATGCGCTGAAAAGTATGCTAAGCATGCTAGGACTGGCTGCCTCGGGCTGTTTTTCAGCTTAGAGATATCACTATATATAGAGGGGTGAGTGTGGCGCTTCTATGGGACTTACCCAGCTTGATGCGACGCTGCTTGAATCGCTCCGCAAACGCTTCCAGCTCGCGCGGATCGGTGTCTGTGTCGGGATGCAGGCCAGCGGCTGCAACGGCCGCCGTTATGACAGGATGATGTACCGCTGAGTGTCCATGGTGCCCTATCGAGTGGCTCGGGATATAGACATCTGTGTATTGGCCAGCCGGGCTCGTGCACTTACCCGCCGTGTGGCCACTTAACGTGCCCGGATGGTGGTGGCTCATCATGTGATTCATACTGTGATAGGAACCGTGCAGGTGCTGATGTGTGGGCGTTAAAGGTGACTCCGATATGGGGGCTAACGTTGTCATCGAGCCCGTCGGATCCAGCATGTCCAGTTGATCCATTGAATGGTGCATCTGCAAAGGGATCGCCCGAGTTGGATGAGTATAATGCGGAAAATTATGCCAACTTAGGAGAGCCCTAAAGCTATTAGCTTCTAGCAATCGATATTCGTTTCGGGTTATATCATCTAGCTTAGTCTGATTTGATTGCAGCTGCTGAATAGCTGAATAGTCAATCAATCTTGTTGTATATACGGGCAGACTCCCTTCTATATAGACAAAGCTATGCAAATCATTTAAATTTCCGATTGGTTCGTATTTATCACACATTTACTTAAGTTTGTGAAGATATATGTATCTATCGATGTCTTTAATATATATATGGATATATGTTCAATTCTATGTTTCTATTGCAGTGTAAATTCAACATTTTCAAGTCATTATTAAGCTATATAGCCTTATAATCAGAGTTACCTAACGTAGGGGCATGCCTTCTGAGTGGGTCTGTCCGATGCTGTGATTCCAGGGTATCTGCTGGTCGCATATTTGCTTATATCGCACTTAAACAATGCGTGCTTAGCACTGAATTAAATATTAAAAATATGCCTAAAACAAATTTCAACATTCAATCATAATCTCAGTTTTATTTGCACAAAAGTTTTATGTGACGGGAGCGGAGGGAGCGAGAGGCTGAGGGAGATAATAAATAAATCGACAGGGCTCATAGAGCTTAATCTGGATGTCAATCAATGCAATTCAGCTGAAATTGATAGATACAACCTGGCTAGGTCCAGCCCATGTTGAAGACAGCTGCCCAGCTTAGGGGCCATTCAAATAAATGGCTTAAACGAAAGCCTGCGAAATGTATCTTAATAATTAAGTCTTTGAGCGGCTAACATAAAAATGGCATTTAAAGTTGAAAAGTTTGTGTATCAAACTGGCTGGCAACGGCTTGTTTCTAATTAAAGCCCAGGGAGAAACCCCTTTGCCCTCCAGCAACAGCAACAGCAACAGCAACAGTAGCAACAACAATGATGAAAAAAGAAAATAAAAATAACTTGAAACTTGAGCAAAACTCAAGTTGGAAAACTGGCGCAACTTTTTTGGGAAGCAGCAGGCTGAGAGTGGGCACTTGTTACGAAATCTTTTGTGTCATGTAGCTTTAATTGAACGAGCGATGAGGCACACACACACAGGCAAAAGTTTTGAAAGGGTCTTAACTGAATGAGACACCCATAGAGGGCAGTGCGGGCGCAACACACACACAGAGAGACAGGCACACGGACATGGGACACGGCGCACAACTCTTTTGTCTATGCATCAAATATTTATAGAATTGTTCAATTATTAAAACAAATATGAATAGCAACTAAAAAGCATGGGAGGCAGCCATTGCTGCTTTGTATCGCGCTCTCTCCTTCTCCTTTTCGTTTTTGTTTTCGTTCTCGTTCTCTCGTTCGCGCATTGTCTCGTTTTTCTCTAACGGCACAAAAAGCTTCTGCTCGCTTGCTCCAACTTACACTCACTCTCAGTCTCCCTCTCTCTTTCTCTCTCGCTCGCTCGTTAGCTTGCTCGCTCACTGCGGCTCTTCAGCTCTCAGTCTTATGTTTTACCCATACTTCTGACCATTTGTTGTGTGTGTGTGTCTATGTTTTTGTTGCTTTGTTAAGCATTTAAACTGATTACAGCTGAAAAGTATGCAACAACAAAACGCCAATAGCCTGGTTGCCGTGTCCGCCCCAGCGGCTGGGTGGGGCACTCATATTTATTTATCTTTTTTGAATGCCGAAAACTAGCATACGCTATGTATGTGTGTGCTGTGTGTGTGTGTGTGTAGAAACATACCACGCCCCCTCAAGCGACGCTTAGAAATGGACATAAAACGTGGACACGTACAGAGGCTATAAATACATAGATATGTACATATACATATACAGGGTGTCTCTGTGTGTGTGTGTGTGTGCGCTGTGCCAATTATGTAAAACTCTAAAATGATAAGCAGGCGCATGGGGGAGGCCTACGAAAAACAATAAGACAGCAGCCGACGCCGCAGCGTAGCTCCGTTACCAGCCTTAGTATATAAGAGACGTCAGAGAGCGAGAGAGAGATAGAGAGAGAGAGAGCAGGGTGTGAGAGAGCAAGAGAGTATTAAAGTATAGACAAGCAGGCGGGCAGCGGTAACGTTCATGCTATAAAAAAACTACAAGAGGTGGCCACTGTCTGCTGCCTGGTGCTTGCTGCCTGCTGCCTGAGCAAACACAATGGCAAACTCTTCAATTATAAACCAATCCCAAAATTAGTCTGACTGTTATTGGTTTGCACCCTTGGCGCTCTCGCTGGCTATCGCGCACTCGCTCGCACACACGTGCAGCGTCGCTGTTATGTAGGCTGCTGGTGCTGCTGCTATTGCTATCTCTTTCGTGGCACTGCGCAACCACCCTGCGCCGAGAGAGCATGAGAGCTGTGTGTTGACCTATGGGCTGGAGAGTTTGGAATGGGCGGGGGGGACGCAGCGTGTGGACGGCGACTGCGGCTGTGACAGCTGCTGCTGCTGTTGCTGTTGCTGCTGCTGCTGCATTGTGGTTGGCTGAGGCTTATGCAAAATTTATTTGGGCAGTGCCCACGAAAGCAGCCGATGCGACGGCGCTGCCGTTTGCTGTCGACGTTGACGGCGCTGCTGAAGTTGCCAGTGGCCAGTGCTGCCTCATTTCATTAAGCGCATAATTTGTAATTAATAAAATTATGCAACACAAAATATATGAGCTATGCGACTTTCGAGAGCTAGATGGCGCTGGTGCCATCAGCGGAACAAGGCGCAATCAGATGACAATAGCTTCGTGAGCCAGAGCGAGATGGCTGGCTGGTGTGGGTGTGGCGTCTATCTGTATACATATATTTGTTTTACTGTACTGCTCGCTAGCTGTGTGTGCTACAAATGCATAATCAAATGGCAAAACAAATGCAGTTGGAAACGGCAAAAAAAGAAGAGCAAAGTTACTGCAATTGAATGGCCTAAGCTCAAGCTTTGCACACAAACACACACTCACACATATATGAAATCACGCATGCAGTAGCTGCTCTCGCACTCGCACTCACATGTCCCAGTGCTGTTGTTTCGTTCTGACGTTTCGTTCAGTGCGCCGCCATTTTTCTTTTGTCTTGTGCTGTGCATTTTGTTGCTGTTGTTGTTTTTGGCTTGTTTTTGTTTTAGTCTTGCTTTTTTTCGTATGTTGGGTTGCGCGCTATGCTTCATTATTTATTAACGACTTTGCCAACATAATTTATTTATTTGCCAGTTTGTTGATAAACATGTGAGAGCCTAGCGTGCGCTTTCTCGCTTTAGCCAACTAAACACGAATGTGTCTGTCTCGCTCGCTCTCCTACTGGCCATTTGTCTGTGCCTGTCTGTCTGATTGTTTACGCGCAAATGACCTCATTACATATAATGTAATTTGTTGTTGTCGCCTTCAGCTCTGCCTCCCTGTCTCTCTCTGTCCCGTCTCCCTGCACTTTTTCTCCGTTTTGCTTTCATTTTTATATTTGTTAATTCCCGCTTTTGGCATAATAAAGCGTTTTTGGCGCCATTGCCAGCGCTGCCGGCTTTTTCATTTGCCGTTTGTTTGTATCTCGCTCTTCTGCTGTTGCTTCTTCTTATTTTTTCATTTTTTGTTTTGTTTTTGCGTCTCGTCGTGTGCTTTGTTATTGTTCATTAATTTTTTAGCATTTTGTTAATTTGTTATGGCGCAGACTGTGCTCGCTGCAGACAGCTGATAATAATATTATTGACTGGGCCCATAACTGCTGTACGTGTGTACTTAACGGCGTTACGGCATGCCCCCATTAACGCGTCTTTATACACCGTACGCTCACGTATATTTGATTTCTGCACTCGTTTCGTACGCCATCTTGAAAGCGCTTGCTTAAAGTGTTGCCAGTAAAACGTGCACGAATAAGCTGCAAAGTAGAAGCGGCAACTGCAGTGCCTCTACGGATGTTATATTACTTGGGCATTCAGCTAAAGGCTTACGAATGTGAAACACTGTAACATGCGCGTAGAACTCTTAGAACTTTAAGAGTTGTAGGGGAAACTGTGTTGCCTTTGGTAAAAACGTTTACGAATGACTCAGTAAAGAAAAGACGAAGAAACGAATAAGCAGAGAGTAGCGAAACTGAGTCTTGCAGGTCGATGTTATATCAACTGCAAGCAAAACGTTTACGAATGTAATATCAAAGCAGACACTGAAACCCAAACGCTACTTACGCTTACTGCGGACCTAGCTAGGGTTTAGTACAAGTAAAACGATTACGATTACGACTCGCAAGAAGATATATAGCAAAGTGGAGACAGGCATATATTTCCGGAGCTGTTGGGTTATCTAAAAAAGTCATTCCTTAATTCGCTATGTCTTAAGACGGTTTTGGCTATGTAAGTGTAATTGTTCTGATTGGATACAATCATTTTGGATACAAGCGAACAATTTGAATTTGAAACAGTTAAGGACGTCGGCCGTATCGTTATTTCTTACGCTTCTCAACGGGCTTAAGAATTTGGAAGGAGCACATTAAGGTCTCGTCGACGGACATCATGGCGCCGGCATTATCAAATTCGCCGCAGTAGTTCGGCGCCGAGAAGAGGGTGACCAGCTGGCGTTTGGCAAAGAACTCGTAGCCATCCTCGACCACCTGATGGGCACGGCAAATCAGGTCGAGATCGTGCTTTTGCAGAAATTTGCCAACCACTTCGGCGCCGAAGGTGAAGCTGACACCACGATCGTTTTCGCCCCAGCCAATTGTGTCCTTGTCCGGATCGGACCACAGCAGATCGCATAGCAGGCCCTGATCGGGCACGTCTGTGGGGCGCATAATCCGCTTGATCTGCTCCATGGACGTTAGGTCGGGACTCAGCCCGCCATGGCAGCAGAATATCTTCTCGTCCACAATGGCGACAACGGGCAAGCAATTGAAACAGTCCGTGAACGTCTTCCACAGCTTAATGCTATAGCGTCGCTTGCACTCGTCATAGAAGCCGTAGATGCGATTGATCGATGCGCATTCGTGGTTGCCTCGCAGAAGAAAGAAATTCTCCGAGTATTTGATCTTGTAGGCGAGGAGCAAACAGATGGTCTCCAGCGATTGCTTGCCACGGTCTACATAGTCGCCCAGGAATAGGTAATTGGACTCCGGCGGATAGCCGCCGTATTCGAATAGCCGCAACAGATCGTAATATTGACCGTGTATGTCCCCGCAGATCTTCAGCGGCGCCTCCAGCTCAAGTAAAATGGGCTGCGCGAGAAAGATTTCGCGAGACTTCAAGCAGAGGCCACGTATCTCCGTCTCATTCAGTTGCACATTCTTGCCGGGTCGGGCTGTACGCACCTCCAGGAGTCTGGCAATGATATTATCCAAATTTAGCACCTCGGCCATATTAACAGGCTTCTGGCCGGGATTGCCGATCTGCGGCTCGCGATTGAGCGCTTGGGACGCCGTCGGGACGATCTTTTAATGGACCTCACGCTCCACCTGACACTCGGCTTTCCTCTCAATCTACGCTATTGCCAATCAAGTGTTTCCATTCAGCGCTCAAGTGGCCCTTTTCGGTTCCCTTCTTATTTCAATCTTTATCTTTTGATTCACCGGTTACTTAAATGCCAATGGATGTCCGAACAGATTGCAGTATTTGAAAATTTGGAATTTGAACTGAGATCGAGACGAAGTTTTGATTTTCCTTTTTTATTTGGTTTTTGTTATTGTTTTTTTTTTGGTACCCCCCGAAATGAACGTTAAAACCAGGTGCTATCGATCGAAAAATAAAACTCGAAAAAAATGTCGAAAAAAAAAATATAAAACCAAGCAACATCCCATTCAATTTCGTCCCATATGCATCCACCCCATTCCTTTTATCGTGCGAGCCGCAGAATATTCAAATATTTTAAGGCCATCACATGGATATTGATGTGAGCTATTTTTTACTTATCTACTTTCTCTCTCTCTCTCTCTTTCTACCCATATCGCATCGCTCTTTATCTTTGTTTGCCTTTACACTATCAGCTTTTCTGCTCCAGCTATTTGCCATTCTTTTTTCCTTCCTGTCCTTCTTGAGCTCTAATTCCTCTTTATGCTTCTCTCTCTCTTATTATCAGCCTTTTTTCTCTTCTTATCTCATTCGCTCTCTTTTTCTTTTCTTTAACTTTTTATCATTCTGTCTGTCTATATCTCTCTCACTCTCTCATTTTCTCTGGTTTCTTGTGATTCTCTCCCATTCTCTTTCTCTCTCACTCTTACACGCTCTTATTGTCCTTTTCTGTTTTCCTATTTGTCTGTCTTTGTCAACCATTTGCTTTCTCTCTTCCACTTTTTTTTATTTATCTCTCCATTTGTCTCTTTCTCTGATTTGCTGTCTACTCTATCTCTCGTTCTACTCTTTTCGCTGTCTCTATCTCTTTCTCTCTCCCCTTCTTATCTGCTTCCCTCAGTTGCTGTTTTTTTCTCTTCTCTCCCTAGTCATATTCTCTCTGTTACTTACCCTGTCTTCTTCTTTCTTTTTGGCTTCCTCTTCTGTTCTCACTCTCTCTTTTCTCAATTTCTTTCCCTCTTTCCCCATTCTCCTTATATTCTATTTTATACTTTTATAGGCCAAGTTAAGAGTTTTTTAATATTTTTATTCGGCTTTGTGCTTGGCTTCGCGCTCTCCTTTGCGATTCTCACATGTCCAAAGTGGCAAAAACTATTTCAGTTTGCAGCGTGGCGTTGGGGGCTTTAAGCCAGCTGGCTTTAAGCGTGCGCTAATCAACTGGAAGTTCATTTGGGGCTTAGTTTTGTCAAATTAGCTGCAATTTGTTAGGGGTTGGCACGCTAGGGGTGGGTGTTGAAAAATTGCAATATAAACAAAAAGTTGAAGTGGCAATTTGTGCGGCGCAATTTGCGAAAGCAGCAACCGAAAATCAAATGCATTTCAGCTAATAATCAGCGAGGCGTCCCCCATTTCGTGCACCTGCACACGAGACTGGCTTCAGTGTGTGTGTGGTATGTGGGCGGTGTGGGGGTGTGTGTAGGTCCGAACAGAGCACAAACAAACATCGTTTATTTTAGGTAACAAAAGACCTCATTTTCCATTTGTTTAACCAGAGCGGGCGAGCGCAGGCGACGAAGGACAGCAAGAACAATGGCACGTAGCTCCTTATAAATGGATGGTCCACTCATTGTTATTGTTGCTGTTTGGGTTGCTGCTGTTGCTGTTGCTGTTGCTGTTGCTGTTGCTGTTGCTGTTTGTTGAAATTAATTGGTGTAACACAAATGAGTAATTTTCAATGTACATAAATATTTGCACAAGCTGCAATTTGCCCGGCTGCCGCCGACGTACAGGGTATCCGACGCAGCAGCTCGCAGCTCGCAGCTCGCAGCTCGCAGCTCGCAGCTCGAGAGCTGTTCAAATACAATTTTTATTGTCAAGCGTTAATAATTTGAACAATGAATAATATGTACGGTAAGCATCTGTTATTATTCCAAACAAATCAAAACAAGTGCACTAGGGCGTTCTCTAACCGACGGGGCGTGGCTGGCAACCCCGTAGCACATAGCCCTCAGCTCACAAATCTTCATAAGTTGTGCTGGGGGCAGGGGCGAGGGCGAAGAGAAAACTTGACAGTTGGGAATTGAGACAAAGTGCGAGAAGTGCTCGCAACGTGGACTAGAAAAAGGGGTCGCAGTCGCCGGCAAATGGGAAAATGATACACTTTACTTTTTGGCTGTGTTGACACACACACGCACACACACACACACACACACACAATCAAGCTAGAACAAATTGCCACATAAATGTGGAGGGTGGTTTGCCACGTAATAGATTTTATTTTATTTTTATAACGCCGAGGACGAAGGACCACAGCCGTACGTACCTTGCGTACGTGTCCTTATCCACTTTTACTTTTTACCTTTTACCTTGCGCACTGGCACTGGCACTGGCAGCGGCAAAAAAGCTCTTCTTCTGCTCCTCCATATTCTTTTTCCACTGCCAGGACTATTCCCAGGACATGTGCGCACTGTGCTTCAATTTTCGAGCGCTTCGCCAGGTGGTTCACCTGCTCAATGCACTTGCACTCAACGGAGTTCAGAGCGAGTTCATACACTGCCCAGCTGACGTTGGGTCTTTGGCAAATCTGGATGGGCTATTGGGAAGGGAAAGTAGGGGCAACGCACTAACATCAGAACGATCTATTTTATGCCTTGCTATTGAAGGTTACGTTACGTTAGTCTTTGCTTACCTATATTATATATACTCCTATACCATATCATGATTGGCTGTTAGCTTGCTGAATTTTGATATCTATCTGTAAGATCTAGAGATCTATCTTGAAAGAGAATCGAAACGTTTGTCATTTGTTAAGCAGGAACTACTATATATGTCTATATCTTTAAGATCTGTAATATGTCTATCTGTAAGATCTAGTGATCTATAGTCATCTGTGGCACAATTTAGAAAGTGACTCAAAACGTTTGTCATTTGTTCTATATGTCACTACTATATTTATCTATAACTATAAGATCTATAGATCTATAGGCATGCACCTCAAGAGATCTTTAGCTTTTGACTTTTGTTCACCAGGAACTACTATATATCTCTACTATATATGTCTATAACTCTGTATCTACCTGTAAGAGATCTAGAGCTATCTGCAACATAATTAGATCTATAGATCTACAGCTATATCTATCTGTAAGCTTTCCCTTGTGCCATTTGCTAACCAGAAACAAGCTTAGCTCTCGCTGCTGGGTGAGCCTTTAAATACCTGCGAATGAATAGAACTATTTAAATATCCGATTAAAAAGGCGCTCGGAAAAGGGCGGCAGACGCTTCCGCGCAAATTAGTTTCAGGGTTAACAAATTAGAGCGGCACTCGTGATGTGTGACACAGCCAAGTCGTGTCGCGTCGCTCTGGCTGCACCACCAGCCAGCACCACCCAGCGTCAGTCTCGAGTCTCGACGGGCCGTGCGCTTCGCATTCGTTTCTTTGTTTTCCTTTCGTTTTTTTTCTTTTATTTTATTTTCAATGTAGCTCGTAATTTTTTACACATTGCGGTCCCGACTTAACTGCGCTACCGGCTGTTTTGCGAGCTCTACTGGGAGACATATCAATATAACCAGGACTCACACACACACACTCACACACATAGACACTCACACAGGTAGCTGCATCCCCTTCTCATTTAGCTTACGGCGCACGCACGGCCACGACGGTGATGGAACAAGTGTAATCGTGGACCGTACCAAGGAGGGTGCCAGAGGCGGGCGGGCGACCCTTGCGCCGCTCGCCTGTGCAATAAAAACAACAGAAAACCAGAAAAAAAAAGCGCAAAGGCAAAGGCAAAGGCGACGGCAAGGGCGAGCCGGGCAAGGACGACCCGTACACGGGGGACCACAATACGGCCGAGTAATAGAAAATACTATTCATGTTACTAGCCGGTAAGGATTTTCGACGGAGGCGGCGTGGAGAGAGGCAGAGTAGTGGAGAGGGCGACATTAATATGTAGATGCATTAAGTACATTATCCGGGGTTACAACCTCGCTACACGGATGACGACAGCAACTGCTCCAGAGCCGAGCGCCGTGCGACGACCGTCGACGAATCGCCGAGCGCCGAGCTTCGAGCACCGGCAAATAAGGTAAACGTCGTGTGCGCGTGTGTGTGCACCTTGACAGTGGTGCCAAAGCGCATATTTCCCATGCGAATTTTCAATTTAAGGAAACTTATTCTGCTTTTGAAAGCGACTTAGCTAGCTAGCTGGTTTCCTTCTAAGTTCTCTACATACAATTCATAGATAGATGGATCCTTCCACAGCTGCTGCATCTTAAGTTGGCTAAGCTCCATGAAAGTCAGTTGAGAATGCTGCTAGACAGAGCTAAGCGAGTTAACTAGCAATGGCTATCAAGTACTCGGAGACTATCTACATATATATATGATTGAAGGAAGCAAACTCAGTAATCCATTTGACATTTAGAATTTCAAGCACAGCTAATGAAATGGCATTTCACTTGGCATTTCTTAGATCATGGATACCTTATAGCACTACTCGCAGTGAGATTCCTGTTTAGTGCCTGGATTTAAAATGCTGCTTGGTGCCAGTGTGCGAGGGTTCGCACAGGTTGTGTCTGCCACAGTTTCAGCCCATCTGATCTGAGCTGCACGCGACGAGGGACGCAAAATATTATGATTTATTTTTATTATAGCGGGTAAAGTGGTCTTTACAAGCATCAAACAGAGGCGTAACAGGCGGGCCCAACCACTGAACCAGCGAACCACCGAATCACCGAATCACCGAACCACCCATTCAAACGCCCACAGACGGTGCCAAGCAAAAAGGCAGTTAGTTGGTTAGCAAAAGGCGCATGAGGATGTGAATTGGGCTGTGGATGTGGATGTGAATGAGCTCGTCAGGTGGCTGGAAGCAGTGGCAGTGGCAGTGGCAGTGGCAGGGGCAGGGGTTGGGTTGTTAAATGGACGGGTGGATTTGCACTTGCCGCGCTGACTGTTATCTTCATTTTTGCTTTCAGTTATATTGCCTGGGAATTCCTGTGGGAGTTAGCTGCATACCCGGCTACGGCAGTAGAAACAAGCAGACAGGCGGACGGGCAGACAGAGCCGGAGCTAAAGCCAAATTGTATGCCCCAGCTATGGGCATAAAAAACAAGCGGATCAAACAGCAACAACAACAACAACAACAACAACAACGACAGCAACAATGGCAAATCGAAAATGTGTGTTTCTCGCATTGACCATTGAAATTGCATTAACACAGAGTTAGAAAGAGAAAGGTAGTGAGACAGTGCGAAAGAGAGGGTGTGCGAGAGAGAGAGAGTGAGAGAGTCATTGTAGCATTAGCCAACCCTCGTTTCTGGTAATGGAAATCTGCGTATAATCCCTGTGAATTGATAAGATGGGCGGGATAAACTAGTTATGGCCATTAATACGATCAATTTGATGCTCACTTCGCTGAAAGTAAATAACAACCTTATTGCCAAATGTTGAAAAACATATTTGAACAACGTGGCACAGCCGGCACTGATAAAAACCAGGCTGCACGCCACCCTTCCCATGGAACCCTCCTGTCTGCCCAGCCCCGACCACTGCTCTTCGGGCCTGTCTAATGGTGTTTGTTACCCGCCTTTTGGTTGAGCATTTGTAACTGATAATTGCAAAGTTGTTGCCAGTTTTTCAACGGCCCCTGCCCTGCCCTGCCCTGCCTTGCCTCTGCTGCTCGTTTTTTGCATTAAGTTTTACATATGCTCGGTTTTTACCGAGGGGGGTTCACTGTGGGTCAACTGAATGCGTTGATGTGCATTTTAAGCAGGTTAACCTGTTAAGTGTCATCGCCCAACCAAGAAAAAAACAGAAATGGGAAAGGCTACCCTTTCTCTCCCACTCCTGCCCGACCTGCCAGGTGCGTGGATGGAAGCGAATCGAAAAGTCAACGCATTATCTGCTCAAGGCTCTAATGCCGGAGATGGATTTGCTAGCTAACTCTTGTCAAATATTTAGGAAACTAAGTTAAAACACTTACATTCCATATTGCTTCAGTTAGTGAAGGATTTTTGTAGAGGGGCAGCAGAGCTTTTGAGTGGAAGAGGCTTGAAGAGGCTAGGCTAGAGACTTGACTTTTAGCCTAAGCTAAGGGACTAAAGACAGGGTATAGAAAGGGAGAGAAAGAGAGAGAGAGAAGGAGAGAGGGAGATAGAGAGCGAGAGAGAGAGGGAGATAGAGAGGGAGATAGAGAGGGAGAGAGAGAGGGAGATAGAGGAACTAAATGAGAGCTGGACTAGGCTAGAGACTCCACTATGGAAGTTAGGATAGAGACTCAGAGCTTTACAGTAGAAGCTGTTCGAAGAGGCTAAGCTAGAGACTTGACTGTGGCAGTGTTGTAGAGTCAATAGTCTAACTGTCACAAAGAACTAAGAAGAATATAAATAGAGAGACAAGACACTGGGCTAGAGGCTCCATAGTTACTTGAGATAGGGATTAGAACAAAAGTCGAACTAGGCTAGAGACTCGACTGCAGAAGTTAGACTCGGACAATAGAGTAGAAGAGTCTAGACTTGACGAATGACTCGATTCTAGCCTAACTGGCATAAACTAATGGACCGAGGAAAGTCACTAAAAAGAAAGTGAATGGAAACTTGGCTAGAGACTCGACTGCAGAAGTTAGACTCGGACTATAGAGTAGAAGAGTCTTGAAGAGGCTGCCCTAGAGACTTGACTATGACAGTTAGACTACTGACGCGACTCTAGCCTAACTGGCATAAACTAAAGGACTCAGCACAGCTACTAGAATGGCAGTAAGTAGCAACTAGGCTAGAGACTCGACTGTGGAAGTTAGACTAGTGACTCGGACTCTGGAATAGAAGAGGCTCGAAGAGGCTAAGCTGAGAATCGACTGTGGTTAGGGATTCAACTCTAACTGCAAGATCAAGATCAAGATCAAGGGACTAGAAAGAGAGAGACTAATGAGAGCGAGTCGACTTAGTCCCTTAGCTTAGGGCTAAGTCGACTCGCTCTCCATAGTCTCTCTCTTTCTAGTCTCTGTCTTTAGCTACTTAGCTTACTTGGGTTTCCTTCAAGTGCCTAGCCAGCTCTTAAGCCCTGTTAGGAATCAACCTCAATAGACTATTCAACGTAGTGCGTGCTTAGTAGTCTAAGCTAATGCCTTGGAAATGTTTTGCCTTCAACTGGAAAAGAAAAGTTCAACTAAAAAGCTTAACAAGCGACAGCTAACAGCACTTAGCGAGCTCCATTGGGAGCTTATTTGGGTCTTAGTTGGTTCTTTATCGAAGTACAAGGGATTTTCGTGGCTCGATTGTAAGCTGCAATTTGTGCAATCAGGACTTAAACGCATGACCTCGCAGCGAGGGGTGTTTGAGTTTGAGTAGCTTTGGCTGCAAATAAAATTACAGTTAAATGCACATTGAATGCATTTTAAATATAAATGAGACACATTCACAATTCACAGTGGCGAAAGTGCAATTTGACTGCGCGTATCGCAGCGCATCGCATCGCTCGACACCATTTTCACAAAACGCTGGCAAGCGCGGCGTATGAGTGATGTCCGCGTTGATGCCTTGTTCAAACGCCCACGACCACACCCACCAGCCACAGTCGTATGGTGCCCATGTCATCATGCGGGTACTACATGTCCACATAGGGATGTCTTGCCTTGCTGCCCCGCACAGCCGCCAAGGTCCGCTGTCTGCGTCCGCTCGATTGTCTTGCAATAAAGAGACAACGCACCGCACACAGACGCAGCGCTAAATAATTGATGAAGAAAAGAAAACTAAATAAATAAATGAATCAACGGAACGGAACGGAACGCAGCCGAGGAGTCCAACCCAACCACAATTGAGCCAAACTCAGCTGAACTGACGTGGACATGGGACGTGGCACATGCCACATGGAATATGGCAAGTGGAATGCGGTTAGGATCGGGCCGTAAATTGTCACTGGATGACACAAAGCTTTCTACACACAATACTCAGCCAGCACACACACACACACACACGCACTTAAACCGCAAAACTTTCTTAAGCCAGGTAAAATAAAAAAAAATGAGCTGAAATGCCCTGACTAGGAAATACCCTGTATTCAACAAAAATGGTAAATCTAATAAACTTTTAATTAAATTAAGCTCATCTGAATATAATGTGTGAAAATCTAGATTGTAAACTGTTAATCGATAATTATCGATCTTATAAAAAGTAAAACATGTAGAAGTATTATTTGGAAAGGCTAAAAATATACTCTGATTAGCTATAAAATCTGGTCAAAAAGTGATTTGAGCAATCGATATTTATCGATTTTATGAAGAAAGTGAGCAAGCAAGCTATAGGTATACAATTTTACTACTTTGCACAATAAACACAAAAACATTTGCCACTTAGCATCATAAATCGATTAGACTGCTAAATGTTATTTATCGATATTTATCGTTTGGGTATTTTGAGTAGAAAGTCTATAGCTAGAAATGCAATTTCCAGCTACTCCAGCTCTACCTTCAACTCTCATCGATAGCCCTGTCTGCATGTACCATTGGCACTAATAATAAATAGGGTATACGAGAAGCAGTCTGGTAAGCAAAGCTAATGCATTATTAATCCGAAAATTGTTGTGTATATAAATTTTGTTGTTTTTTGTTTGGCCACCGTTTTGTTATGGTGCAATATTAAATATGGTTACATATTTAATAATGTCAATCCGGTGGTGATAAATACCATAACAATCGATAACTGGGACGTCCTATCGATTATTAATGCGAATGCTCAAAATGAGACAAAGGCTGTGCGAAATGGGTCGCTGGGTGGGGCAATTGATGACAGAACAGCGAGAGCAACGACGAAATTGTAGATTGTGAGTGTGTGGGAGAGAGAAAGGGAGAGGGAGAGATAGAGGGAGAGGTAGAGGGAGAACAGACTAACATTGTTGACGACAAGAAGGAAACTGGCGAGAAGTTAGGAGGCATTGATAAAGAAGAGAGGGGCAGAGAGAGAGGAAGAGAGATAGGGAAAACAAGATTGAGGTGTAAGAAATGCAAATGGAAGAGAAAGCGAGAGAGAGAAAAAGAAAGCCAGAGAGGAGACATTGGTAGGAGGTATATGCTAGAGTGAGAGGCAGACATTGATAAGAAGTATATGCCACAGTGAGAAAGTTATTGATGGAGACTAAGAAAGACACAGAGAGAAAAGCAAAGAGAGAGGAAGGGAGAGAGAGAGAGAGAGAGGAAAAACGTAGGCAGACTTGAGCTAAAAAGAAGATCTGAACCGGAAACAGTTTGGATTTCGTCGAACAGTTCGAGCCGAATTGTAAGTTCGTTAGAGTTGCAATTGCTGGAATTATTGACAATTAATGAGCTCGAGCATTTGTCTGTAGGGGGGCGTGCGATAGCATCGGAAAGTATCGCACACGGCCTGTCTGTGGCCCACAAATGCGAGACAACAAATATTTGTGCCGCTGTGTGTGCTGCGGTCGAGTGGAAGTTGAAACAGACCCACGGCTTGGTGGCTTTGGCGGCTTACACTAAGTAGAATTTGATTGCGTGTGGAGTGGCAATGGAAAGTTAACGATATTTACCAAATAGTAAGCCCTGCTCCACTTGGTCACGAAATGACAGAGGCACAAAAAAAATCAAACAGGTGCACTAAATGAATTTCAATATGATAAACCACTTGTGGTTGCCGGCTGCAGGCAGGTGTTTGACGGTGCGCTGTGGTGGTGCGTGGTAGCCGGCGGGCATACTCGACATGCGGCACATGGGCCTCGCCACCCCGTTGCGGCGGGGTCATGGGCGTGCGTGTGCTGGAAAATGATTTGAGGGAAATTGAGCCATATGTTGCGAATACTAATGGATACGCCAGGCCCTCGACTCTGTCCGTCCGGAAATATGAAAGTGTAATTTAAATTGAATTAAGTGTACTTGTTTTTCTAACCCCACCCACCCAACCGCCCCCTGTGAGCTGCAGGGCCAACCACCCGGCAACTGGTTGGACAGCCAAAAACTTTGCCTTTGCTTTTCTTGTTTTGGTAACTGGTGCAAAATCTAAATCTGTGATAAATGCCTGCAAAGTGGCTCGCTACCCAGCCACACCCCCTGCGCCGCTCGCCGGCCTCCTCTGCCTCCGCCAGCCTCTTGCGCACTGGCTGCTGCATCATTGTTTAGCAAATTGATAATATTTATTGTTGTTGCTGTTCTCATTTGTAATTGTTACAAATGCTGGCAAGCTGTCAGGCTAGCTCAGATAACCGTCCTTACGTCCTTCCGTCCTTCCGTCCTTCGGTCCTTCCGTCCTTCGACCCATCGCATTGTGCTTTATGATGGATATGATTATTTTAATTAGCATTATATTTGCTCTTGTATATATTTACCCTTTTCGTAGCACTCATAATTGGCCCTTCATATGCTCGCAAAACTTGCACATTTTGTGGCCTACAGGGGGTTGAGGGATGGTGCCAGAGGGGGCAGGGGGCGAGGTGGTTGCTCTAACGTAAATTACTTTAATTTAATGAGTTTTGTTATGTTTTTCGAATGGGCGGCGAGGGGGTGGCTTTATGGCACTCGCATAACGCTTATGACACATGTTACCAGAACTGATAGACAGCAGCCATCAAATCAAGTGGAAAATTTTAAACTTACATTTGCCAAGGGGGTTAAGAAATGCGTAGGAGGGGTTGACTGCCCGGACAGGTAATGGACGGGGCAGAGCAGGTGGCTAGGCGTTCGGGTGGCTGGGGACTGGGCTGGGGGGCCATCAAAACTTATTTGATAGAGATTTTGTGGAGAACTACGAGCTCCACTTGCATTAGCCTAATGAAAGTAAATCAGGTGGCAAACAGTTAGAAATTATAGTTGAGGTTAAAGACATGAATTTACTAAAACTAAAATCGATTTGAAAATTAAGTGAAGAGGGTTGAAAATGAAGTAAAAAGGATTGGAAATAAAATAAAATGAATAAAGACCAAAATGTAATTAGAAAGAAGAAAGTTTCTATTATTCTACAGAGAAAACGGAAACAAGGCGTGACTTAAAAATAATTATATGTTTGAATACATTGTTAACCTCCTTCTCGAAGTGAAAGGGGCACACTCGAACCCCCATGATATGATATGGGATATGGGATATGGGATATGGGATATGGGATATGGGATATGGGATATGGGATATGGGATATGGGATATGGGATATGGGATATGGGATATGGGATATGGGATATGGGATATGGGATATGGGATATGGGATATGGGATATGGGATATGGGATATGGGATATGGGATATGGGATATGGGATATGGGATATGGGATATGGGATATGGGATATGGGATATGGGATATGGGATATGGGATATGGGATATGGGATATGGGATATGGGATATGGGATATGGGATATGGGATATGGGATATGGGATATGGGATATGGGATATGGGATATGGGATATGGGATATGGGATATGGGATATGGGATATGGGATATGGGATATGGGATATGGGATATGGGATATGGGATATGGGATATGGGATATGGGATATGGGATATGGGATATGGGATATGGGATATGGGATATGGGATATGGGATATGGGATATGGGATATGGGATATGGGATATGGGATATGGGATATGGGATATGGGATATGGGATATGGGATATGGGATATGGGATATGGGATATGGGATATGGGATATGGGATATGGGATATGGGCTATGGGATATGGGATATGGGATATGGGATATGGGATATGGGATATGGGATATGGGATATGGGATATGGGATATGGGATATGGGATATGGGATATGGGATATGGGATCTGGGATATGGGATATGGGATATGGGATATGGGATATGGGATATGGGATATGGGATATGGGATATGGGAGATGGGATATGGGATATGGGATATGGGATATGTGCTCTACTCTGTTTCTGTATTCCATGTCAACGAAAGGCTCAATCAAAGCAACCCGGAGATATTTGGTGTCAATGTATATGTAGCTATATGTTTATTTATATATGATATATATATATATATATATATATTTCTTTATATATTTATAAATGTATATTTAATATTAATATCGGCTGTGCTTATTTCCAGCATCCAACTAGACTGGAGAGATGGCAGCTAATCAGAATACTGGTGTCAGAGCGGGATCCAGGTCGAGTTTGATAAGTAAGGACGAGCAGAAGGGCGATAGTGACCACGGCGAGGAGGAGATTTCCTTTGCACAGTTCGAAAAGCAATGGCGACGCTATTTGACTAACTTTGAGCGACGGCGGTTGCAGTATATTCATAAGCAGTCAACACTGTACGGCGGGCAGCTGAGCGCTGAGGGGCAGCTGGATGTGGGGATGATGGACTTTGATGATCCCACTACTATCTACGATGCCCAATACAATCTGAGCCACGACACCGAGCCGTAATGCAATTGCAACAGTAATTGCATTGGCAATAGGCACGAGTCGATGGCTCGAAGTCGTCCGCCTCATGTCTACGGCCATGTCCGCGCTGGGGACAGCTGCAACCAACTAGGTCATTCTCACTGACCAAACAAAGCAACAAAAAAAAAAACAAACATACTAACTAGCTAACCAACTAACCAACCATTAAAACTAGCCAACACCACCACGAAATACGAACTACGAAATACGAAATTTTCATAAATTGTCAAAGTTGTCGAACTGCAAGTCTTAATATTTGACGTGGGACATCACGTCAGGTATGACCAAAATAATAAATTTGATAAACTTTCAAAGAACAGAATAGTTAAAACATGGCCAAAAGTTGCCGCAACTGCTGCCAGAGCTCTCACATACGGGTTAAGCCACCCGCAACTGCTCCGGGCAGCTGTCAACCATATTACCAAGGCGTAGCCATGTGATTCATCCACACTGCGTTGGCCTCTTCGAAGTGCAATCGCAGTTATAAATTGATGATCCACATTTTAAGGATCTTCCATTAGTTTAATAAACAAATCGATACGTGAATGCAACTAAATAATATTGTTGAGCTCTGAAGATGGAGTAGAATAGTGACAGAGATAGAAACAGAGAGAGGAGTGTGGATAGGGTTAGTGAGAGATGAAGAGAGAGGGTGAGAGACTTAGAGGAATATTGAGAGTTGTAGTACGAGATCGAGAGGGGGAGATAGAGATCTAGATAGAGGGCAAAGTTAGATACACTGAGAGATACAGAGATAGAGAGAGAGAGAGAGAGAGAAGTATAGCCAGGCAGAGAGAAAGAAAGTTATAGAAAATGGAGGGAGATAGAGGTATATAGAGAGGGACAGTGGGAGCTAGTGTGAGAGTAAGAGGGACAGAGAGAGAGCGTGAGAAAGACAGAGAGAGAGACAGGCAGACCGAAAGGGAGACAGAGCTAGATGCAAGTAGAGGTAGAGACAAAAAGAGACAGATGGACAGAGACAAAAGGTAGAGGAAGACCGACTGAGCTGGGCTTGAGAGTGAGTACAAATAAGTAGGTCAAATAGTGCCTTAAATACACCACTCTAAGCAGAATTCCCTCTTTTAATGTGCAGCAGTTTTATCTTTCGAACTATACCTAGTAATATAACGATATTAATCCTGTGAGTCTGAATGTTCTTTATAGAGGCAATTGAATACTGAAAGACATTCCACAAGAATGGTTCAGCTTATAGGAGTTATAGAGGACATTTTTAGCTCAAATAAAGGTTAAAGCTAAATTGGATAGCTCTAAGTCTAAGCCATTGCTTTAAATAAGAAGTGAAATGCTAGACGGGAGTATCCTACGAGGAAATACACTAGGTTCTGCTCAGAGCTAGTGGCTCAACCAGTCTGGGTTTCTTATGGACCCCGTCTATTTGAGTTTAGTCAGTGAAAATTGCTAGTTAATATTCAGAGCTAACTAAACATATCATGAGAAGACGAATTAATCGTCTGAAATGATATTATTTAATGGGAGATATTCAGCTCGTGTTTCTGATCGGAAATGTGTGTGCCACGCCTCCTTTTGCTTAAAACCATTGTAAGCTGGACTTTGATTTTCAATAGATGCAAATATTTGCAGTCTTTATGTAGTGCCCCGAATCTCAGTTCGAGTTTGCTTTCACTCTCAAACATGCTTTACTCAGGGCAATATGTTTCTGGCGGCTGTCCGTAAGTGCTGAGCTTCATAGTTGGCCAGACACGAGGGGAGCAGGAGTCGCTATTTTAGTGGCATTGCACTGGGATGCCAACTCCCTGGATAGTTGATTGTGCCACTCACTGTGGAAGGTTGTTGCACCTGAGACCCGCAGCGGCAGCTCGCAGCGCATGGGGTACAAATTCTCAGACTCAAGTGCCTGTGTGTCTGTGTGTGTGCCGAAAATTAAAGCCCACACGAGCGTATGCCAAGGAATTGGGAATGGTTGAATGGGTGCTATGGGTGGTGTGAGTGAATGGGTATGGGAACCACAACAACCACCGGCGACGGTGACGGCGGCGCGTGGACAGCGCGCACTTTTGTCATGCTCGATTGTGCCGAAAACAAGTGGCATTACAACAACAACAACAGCAGCATTAAGAACAACTCGAACAGCTACCCAACAACTAGCTGAAGATATAGGAACAGGTTGCTTGTGTAATTTGATTACAATCAACTTTAAATAGAGCAGCAACCACCCAGGCGCACGGCCAGCACTGGATGCATGTGCATATGTGTCCAGGACTAAACAGACAGGCAAACAGGACTCGCCCGCGGCCCGCGAACCGCGACCCGCCTCGAGCTGAACTAACGGTACAATACAATTAACGACACGAATCATGATGTGCTTACCTGGCAAACGACCGTCACGTGGCGCGTTCCCAGCAGGCTTACACGTCACAATTTTAATTTTATTAAAGAAACATTTCAAATTAACCACACAGAGACAGAGACAGAGACAGAGACAGGGCGAGTGGCAGAGGGAGAGGGAGAGGGAGAGCGTGCAGGCAGTTGAGCAGCAAAAGCGGAAATTGAAGTTGTCGCCGTTGTCATTGTTGTTGCTCTTGCTGTAATCAAAATGACTGTCATAAAACGCAGCAAAACGGATAATATCCCATATCCGCAGCATGGCACACACACACACACACGCACACACATTCAAGTGCCCTATTACAAGGCCAATGCATTGAAGCATTTCCTACCATTTCCGCTAAAGTCTATGCACAAATATGTATTGCGATTAGTGTAGTTAGTAGCAATTACAATAGCCACATTTAAGCTATGTTATTCATGAATAACCTCCAAGTACATTCTACTATATAATTATAATATTATAAGTAATTTGGTTTCATTTAACTAAGTCGAATCTTGACTTGACTGTGATCCTCTTATAAGTAAGTTGGGTATTGCCTAAGCTCCCAGACTCGTCTACAGAGCATAGCTCAAATTCTATACAACAAAAGTTTTATTTTCACTTTTAATTTAGTTGAGCTTAGTTAGAGCTTATTACTAGTTAGATTTGCTGTGGCACTCACCTGTAATGGACGTTGCGGGGGCCCACTCATTGTATGATGATGGTACATCACATCGTGCTTGATTTGGGAGGGCATTTGGCTATGTACATGCTGGGCTTGGTGTTTCTGTATGTCGACGGCGGCGAGGGCTTCCGCTCTGCTGAGTATGCCGTCGTTGATACCCGCAAAAATATCACCCTGTATCGATGAGAAACAAATGGAACAGATTTCGCAATTAGGCAAACACGAGATCGATTGGCTGCTTGACTAGCAATACGGAGTAAACGAAACATGAGATAGATGAAGCCCCCATCAACAATTTGCTCGACCCTATGACACACACATACATATATAGGTATCATAAAGAGAGCTTATATACACATACATACATGTGTATGTATGTATGTATGTAGGAAGCCTAAGCCAGCAAATATCGTATATCAAAT